CTGTGGTAAAGTTGCCTCCAACATAAAGGGAATTTGATTGAATTTGGATGAAACTGGTAAAAAAAAAAAAAAAGGGATGTTGTTGGGCTGAATATCCCAATTTCCTTTTTCCAAAAGAAGTTTTGAAGAAGAAATGAATAATTTTAAAGGAAGAACTTCCTTGCTGGGGCCAATCATTGTCCAAGAAGTTTTTGCTGCTCATAATCCGAACGTAACCAAGTCACAGAACAAAATCAGGGTGTAAACAAGTTACTCCTGCTCTTTACAGGGGATCATTTTGCCTGTAATTTTGTGACATAAAATAATCAAATCAACCTGTTTTCAATTAGTCTATTTTAGTATTATCCAGTGGAGTTAGTACAGCCCCACGAGAAGAAGAGAAGATATTTATAGAAGAAAATAATTTGTAAGTACCATCATTTATCTCTTTTTTTTTTTTTAACTGCCCAAACTCCAGAGTGATGGAGAAGAATCACTTTATAAACACCAAGTCTGGGTTAACTTTCTTTTTTTTATTATTGTTTTTAAGATACACAGATTTTACAAATGAACCATTTTTAATCCCAGAATATCTCCAGAAGCAACTGGAGGAATTTGAAGCTCTCTATGAAGTTTCAAATAGTAACAGTTATAATAATCCAGATCCAATCTCTGAGAGTTTATATGAGTAAGTATTAATTTCTGTACTCAGCAAATTCAAGGGTTTTATTTTACATCATAATTTTTATCATTTATTGCATTAAGTCCATACTTTGGGAGGTCTGGTGTATGTCCATAAAGGTGTGGACTAATACACTGAAATACAAGTTTAGAATGAAATTTAAAAAACTTGGATTAAAAATAACAATTTTTAAATTTTTTTTTTCAGGTATTTCACTCAAATCTTGGACGAACATGGCCCTCTGGAAATTAATAATAAATTACTAGTTGGGGAATATGAAAATTTCCCTGAAGAAACACGAAAGGTCGTGGAGGATCAGGGTGGCCTGGAATCTTTCCTTCTGAAATCCCTTCGTTTCATTATGGTGGATAATCTTATTTGCTTAAAGAAGCACTCGGTCTTCTTTGAGGGAAATACAAACAGAAGTGAAAATTATATAGATGGGAATGTGCAAGGGAATCATTCCCAGAAAAACCTCCGGTTAAATCCAGATGCTGAGGAATTCAAGCCCCAGTCCTACCCTGTTCAACCCCATATACCACCATCACCTGACTTAAGTTATGAGACTCTACAATATTTGCCCTATTCCTTCCCTGCTTCCTGGAGATCCAGGAATTCCTTGCAAAGCCAGAGTATCGATTCCATGGAAAACAAGTCGTCGTTTGCAGACGTTTTACTAAAAAACCTGGATTCTACAAGTCCCATATTTTTGCCTCAGACTTCCTGGGGTTACCAATATGGAAGGATATTGCCTGTGCCTTCTCCAGTGCCTGTCCTGCCACATGTTGCCAGGCAGCCTGGTTATATCTATGCTGACCCTGCAGCTCCTCAGGATAATCAGGAATCAGCAATTCCAGTCAGAAAATACGTCCGTGATAATTTCATCCCAACTGAAATCCAAACGTGTGAAGACCCCTGTGGCCAATTGGAGAACTCGGATAAAGAGAATTTGGCTGCTCCAGGTAGTTCAGATGAAGCTGAAAATGGTAAACAGGTTATTAAGGTGGAAAAAGGAAGCAAAAGTAAACCTGGAATGAAGAGCAACCCCCATATAAGGATGGTGGCTGTTCAGGTAAGAAATGAAAATGGGATAATTGAGAGCTTTTTAGGCCACTGAGAAGATCTGAGGGTTGGAACAGCTCTGCTGGGAGGAAAGGCTGGGAGAGCTGGGATTGTTCAACCTGGAGAAGGGAAGCTTTGGGGTGACCTGATTGTGGCCTTGCAGGGCCTGAAGGAGCTCCAGGAAAGATGGAGAGAGACTATTTCCAAGGGCTGGAGGGACAGGACAAGAGGGAATGGCTTCAAACTGATAGAGAACAGGGTTAGATGGGATATTGGGAAGGAATTCTTCCCTGTGAGGGTGGGGAGGGTCTGGGACAGAATTCCCAGAGAAGCTGTGGCTGCCCCTGGATCCCTGCAAGTGTCCAAGGCCAGGTTGGATGGGGCTTGGAGCAACCTGGGCTGGTGGAAGGTGTCCCTGCCCATGGCAGGGGGTTGGAATGAGTTGATCCTTTAAGTTCCCTTCCAATTTAAACCATCCTATGATGCCTTATAACTTCCAGTTTAAGCTGCTGCCACTTTCTACGACTACTCTTGTTTTTAATTTGTAATTCTTTGAAGAGCTGCTGACTGAAGTTTGTTCTGCCTCAAGTTTGTGCAGAAGTTTTGACTGGGCACCAGAGGAGGGAGCTGGGGCACAATTAGTTTCAGCTTTGCTTTAGAGATGAAGGAAAGTCCTTCTGTGTTGTCATTTTTCCTTTTGTAGTTCAGTGATTTGTTTTCACTTTTACAACACTTGTGCAATTTAACAGTTGCTGGCTGATGCTTTCCTTCTGGTTTCACAGTAGTGGCCCAGGTTTTAGGGTCAGTTCAGGGGGAAACTCCATCATGTTTTCTGAGAGGCCCCTCCAGGGCTGTGTCCAGGTCTGGAACCTCATGGAAGAGAGACCTGGAGGGGCTGGAGCGTGTGCAGGGAAGGGAACGGAGCTGGGAAGGGGCTGGAGCAGCAGGAGCAGCTGAGGGAGCTGGGGGGGCTCAACCTGGAGCAAAGGAGGCTCAGGGGGGACCTTCTGGCTCTGCAACTCCCTGACAGGAGGGGGGAGCTGGGGGGGGTCGGGCTCTGCTGCCAGGGAACAAGGGACAGGAGGAGAGGGAACGGCCTCCAGCTGTGCCAGGGGAGGCTCAGGTGGGACATTGGGAGGAATTTCTCCACAGAAAAGGTTGTCAAGCATTGGCAGGGGCTGCCCAGGGAGGCGGTGGAGTCCCCATCCCTGAGGGATTTAAAGCTGTGTGGACGTGGCACTTGGGGACAGGGGTCAGTGGTGCCTTGGCAGTGCTGAGTTAACAGTTGGACTTGATGATCTTAAAGCTCTTTTCCAGCCTAAACAATTCCATGATTTTAAGCTTATCTGACCACAATTTTTAACAGCCTGTTAGAACAGGGACATCTTGAACTTCAGTTCTTTCATTAAGGTCTTTCAGTGGTGGAGCAAAACAGGGTCCTGGAGTCCCTTCTAAGCAGAGGCACTTCTGTGGCAGATCTTGAGTTTAGGACTCACAAAGCAGCTTCTCAGGGAGCTGTCAGACACTTCTTGCAAATATAAGTTTTCAGACAGTTAGGGCACAGCTGTGTTTGAAGACTCTCAGTATAAAGGCTTGTGGTCCATGAAATTAGGGAAAGATCAGACAGACAAGTACTTTCTTTACAGGTTGAAATCCCTTCCAGAAACGCTTTCACAACGTTTTTCTGCATTGTTTCACACCTGCTCAGTAAATCAGTTGGGTTTGTAAAGCTGTAGGTGAGCTACAAGAGCTCCAAACCAGAGCTGGCCTTGTAGTTGCATCTATAAACTGGAAAGCTTTTTAATTTACTCAAAATTTCTTGTATTTTAGGTCAATCAGGAAGTAGCTGATAGGGAAACCAACACTTTGCCTTTCCATCCATTTGAAAACCAACAAGTAAGTTACATCTTTGTATTTCTCATGAAGGAGGTTAAAGGAATGCCCAAAAAAATTTAGTAGTGAGAAGATAAAGTTCTCTGAAAATGGGATATTTTAAGAGGTATTTCTGTATTTTGGGTGGTTTGGTACTGTGTGGTTTGGCCTCTTTCTGCATTCTGTGATGTTCTTCATGGAAACTTCACACAGGCCCACAACAGGGAGGGGTTTGAGCTTTGTTCTGTATTTTAGGGAGATTGTATTTCCCTTCCAGAAATCTTGAGGCTTGACAAAAACACTCCATTTGGGCATGTAGACAGTTCAGAGTGGTGTTAGTGGCAGGTTTCTGTCTGTACCAGGAGATAAAAGTGAGAAAATGTGTCATTTAGGTTGGGTTTTGTCTCCTGATTTCTTTCCAGGGAGATATTCTGCGTGTGGAAAAGGAGCATCAGGTGCTGAAAGAACAACTGAAAGAGGCAGAGGAGAAATTTGAGCAGCTGCAGAGCCGAAGTTCGGAGGAAATCAGTGCTTTGGAAGAGCTCCTGAGGAAAAGCGTGGAAGAGACTGAGGTAAAACTTCCATCCTTGGATCAGGGTGTGGAATCCCCGTCCCTGGAAGTGTCCAAGGCCACGTTGGAGCAAGCTGGGATAGTGGAAGGAGTCTCAACCCGTGGCAGGGGGTGGAATGGGATGATAAAGGTCCCTTCCAACCCCAGTCTGTGATGGATCATAACACAACAACCCCCGGCAGCTCCAGGCTGGGCCAGAGGGGCTGGAGAGCAGCCAGGCAGGAAGGGAGCTGGGAGTGGGGATGGACAGGGAGCTGAACAGGAGCCAGAGTGTGCCCAGGGGGACAAGACGGCCAATGGATCCTGGCCTGGCTCAGGAACAGGGTGGCAGCAGGAGCAGGGAAGTGATTCTGCCCCTGGACTCAGCGCTGGTGAGGCCACCCCTGGAGTGCTGTGTCCAGTTCTTGCCCGCTCAAGCGCAGAAAGAGGGAGGGGGCGGGAGCAGGTTCCAGAGGATGAGCAACCGAGGGCTGGGGAAGGGACTGGAGGGAAAAGTGCCGGTGAGGAGAGGCTGAGGGAGCTGGGGGGGCTCAGCTGGAGAAGAAGGAGGCTCAGTGGAGACCTCCTCACGCTCTGCAACTCACTGACATAGCATGAGCCAGGGGGGGGTGGGTCTCTTTATCGGGCCAAGGCAACCATCAGCAAGACAAGAGGCGGGGTCTGCAGGCTGGGCCAGGGGGGGTTAGTTGGATAGAGAAGGAAGGCTTGCAGAGAGGGTGCTCAGCCATTGGAATGGGCTGCCCAGGGAAGTGGGGGATTCTCCATCCCTGGAGGTGTTTAAGGACAGACTGGATGTGGCATCAGTGCCATGGGCTGGGAACCACGGCGGGGTTGGATCAAGGGTTGGACTTGATGATCTCGGAGGTCCCTTCCAACCCAGCTGATTCTGTGATTCCATGATAAATATCCTCGTTCTGCTCGACCTTGCATCTGAATAAACCACTGCTTTTCAGAAACGAAGCTTTGTTTTCTGCTTTCAGGTCTCCCAGAATGAACTGGATTGGTTTCACCAGGACTCGGAAGCACAAGGGAAGAAATGGCAGCAGGAGAAAAAAGAGAACAGAGACAACTTAAAAGCACTGAGGAGCACGGCCAAAAAACACACAGACACCAACGAGAGGTACTGATTTTAAACACAGATTTACAGCAGTCTGACATTTGAAAGACATCAGGTATCTCTGACTTTTACAGATATATTTCATTTATTATATATCTAAACCTAACCCTTGGCTGGGTAAGTCAAGATGTCAGAGAGCCCTGAGGAGTTTGGTCCTTCAGTGCTGTTGTTTAATCTTTATTCTTTGGGCTGAATTTCTCTGGAAAAATCCATCAACCTGGTTTTTATATTAGTTGCTGATTTATTAGGAATATATTTAAATGTCCTTAGGATGGAATCATGGAATGGTTTGGGTTGGAAGGGACCTTAAAGCTCATCCAGTCCCAAGCCCCTGCCACGGGCAGGGACACCTTCCACCAGCCCAGGATCTTGCGCCAAGATCCAAACCTGGCCTTGGACACTTCCAGGGGTGGGAACACTGTAATATTTATGGCATCAAACAGTATCTAAAATATACAGATATTAAGATACAACAATATCTAAAGCACACAGGTTGTCACTGTGGCCACAGAGGAACCTGTTACACGTTTGCCAACGAACCTTTATCAGCACAAGTTTAATAAATGTTTCATTCCTGCAGGTATTTGAAGACCATTGACGACAAGGAAAAGCAATATAATGTATATTTAAATACATTTCTGGACACCAGGTAAAAAGTCTTGTACTTTTCTGCAATATTTCCATTTTTTCTGCTGATTTGTCAATATTGGAGTTTTCTGCTTCACTCTGGGTAAAGGCTCAGGGAGAAATAAGCACTTTAACCTGTATCTCTTACTCTAAGTTTGTTTAATTTACTTATCCTGAGTAAATATTAATATTTAGAATACTGGACATCTGTCTTTTCATCATACTCTCATATATTTCCCTTGATTACATGATACTGAGTAGAGAGAGTAGCTGTAGAAAACCTCTAAAATGGCATAAATTTTAAATACTGCTCTGCTGGAAATGTTACTCAAATATTTAACTTCTTTTTATTTCACAGTAATAAATTTGCTAATGAGAAAGTAAAATTGGAAGAGCTTATAAAAAAGAGTCAAGATGACTGCCAGGAGTGTGTGAAAAGAGCTGTTAAAGCAGAGGTACAAACCAAAAAAAAAAACCACCAAAACCCCTTAAAAACCTTTTGCTAGAGCTTGGATCATTTGTGCTCATTGGAGGTGGGGAAAGTGATAGCAAAAATGTTATTCCAATATTGATTAATGCTGTTCATTATGTTTTCCCACAAAACTTTGCAGGTCAAGGTGCATTATTATTATTATTATTATTATTATTATTATTATTATTATTATTATTATTATTGAATTAGTATTAAAAGTGCAGGAAATCTGGGACACAAATTATTGCCCCAAACAAAATTCAACTCTGATAATTGAGTCACATCCTTGTTTATGAAGAGATTCCATTTGGAATTAACCACAGAAACATTTAAAAACCTCCTTGTTTTAAGTTATTAATGAATATGTAGCTACTTCCTTATGCAGGTAAAACTCATGTATCAATATTTTTTCCAAACTAAGCTGTTTTATGCTGGAAATGCCTGGAATATTGAGAATATTGTGAACAATTCTCCCTTTCTTAGGAAGAGCTTGAAGGCTCTTGTTGGTCCACTCTAGTCTTCAACCTTGCAGTATTTAAAAGGCTGCCTTTTATACCTAAATATCTGTTTATTTGCATATAGATGTGTGTGTTTATGTGGGAGAAGCTGCAGAGGGAACTTTTTATCCTCCCCAAAGCCCTGGGATGTTCATTCCACTTGAAATTCCTCCCTGTAGGAACTGGGTGTGTTTGTGCTTTGTGTCGTCAAACTCCTGTTTCAGATTCTAATTAATTTCTAATTAAAATTTAGTTGGAGGGGGTTTTATCCCCTCGTGTTTGAGGTTTTTTTTAACACTTTTTTTTTTTTTTTTTAACTCTTTGGTTCCAGATCTCAGTATTCCAGAACTGGAAGGAAAGTGAAGTTTGGAAGCTCAGTGGCACCGTTGCCAAAGCAGAAGCAAATCTCAAGATGCTGAAGACACTGAGCAGGTACAGAGAGTTCACACCACAACTTTTAGTGCTCCTGGTTGTTAAATACAATTACAGAGTGTTTATTCACTATTATTATTGTTATTGTGATTAAATATTATAAAAATATTTATAATTATTATGATAATGTTTAAATATTATGAATGTATTTACATTTTTAACATTAAAATTATAATTTTTCCCCTGCTTTAGTATCACACATCTGGGGGATTTTTAAAACTAACTTTATATTTTTATTTTTTAAGAATATAAATTTTTAATATATAAAATATATAACAGATATTATATAATATATAAAAGATCTATAGTTTATGAAATATATATAATATATCTATATTATATATTGTACATAATATATTTATATATAGGATATATCTATATTATATATATTGTACATAATATATTTATATATAGGATATATCTATATTATATATATTGTACATAATATATTTATATATAAGATATATCTATATTATATATATTATACATACTTATATTTTTATACAATATATAAATAAAATATATTATATTTTATAAACATTATATATACATATATATGATATATAATATTTTTTATGTATTTTATATACATGAAATATATATGTAATATATATAACATATAAGAATATGAATTATAAATGTTTAATTTAACTCAGCTTGAGGAAAAGCTGCCTTTAACTCTTATGTTTCAGGCTGGCATCCCTCTGGGAGCAAAACTCACCTGTAATTTTGGGGTGTTTTTTAATAATATTTATCTTCATGTGACATAATTGAATAAAATAAAATATTTAGAGAAAATATGAAATTATAATATCCAAAGTACACAAGATTTGGGGTATTTAGTATTGCCCCATCCAAAATTCAGCTGGTCTTTGAGGCTCATCCTTCTCCCTGTTTTGTGTCTCAGCTGGGAAAGATCAGGCACCTGGGAACATTCCACTTATTCCCAGTTTTCCCTGGGAAAGAACTGAAGTGTGAACAGAAAATACTGGGCAGCCAAGGTTGTTTTCTTCCTTACAAGGACCTGATTTAGCCCTCGATGGCACCTTAAATTTAAGTCATGTTCCCTTTCCCTGTCCTTATGTTGCTGCAAAATCCTAAATTCCACGGTAGGAGTTCACTTCTGGGATTGGATGGAATCTGAACACCAAGAATTTAACTTTTTAACCCGAAATCCCTTAAAATCTTGAACTTAGTGATTAGTTGGTGAGGGAGAAACTTGTACAGACACCACTGGTCTTAAAGAAAAATAATGAGAATGTTGGAATTTAACTGCAAATCTTCAATATTTCAGTAGCTCAGCTTCAGCAGCACCTTTGTTGAAGGCACAGATTGATTCCTGGGAAACTTTTATTTCCAATGTAAAGAAACAGCTGGAAAAAGTAGAGGTAAGGCTTCCTTTCTCTTAGCAAGCTTTTAAGTTGAATTTTGGGAAATTAAAACAGAATAAATACCTTAAATAACTTTGCATTCCTTTTTTTTTTTTTAAACACCAAGTATTGACCTGGGATTTTTTTTTTTTTTTTTAATTACAGAAGAAAGACACAGTTTTAAATCCAGGTTATTTAAATAAATTTACAGTGAATATCTTCAATTTTACAAAGGCAAAAAAATCTGTCCTTTATCCACGTGTTTCAAAATTGGATCCCACCTTGTGCTTTAAAATTAGATCCCACATTAACAAGTCTGATCTCTTGGTTCTTTTAGATTTCTTTAGAAATTTGTGGAACTTTTCTTGTTTTGTTTTTTTTTTTTCTTTTTTTAAAAGTCTCTGGAAAAGTTCAAATGTAAAGTGTAAATGTGAAATGAAGAGGGATCTTTTAATTAAAGCTGAGGTGGAGGATGATGGTTTGTTTTCACTCTGCAGGCTGAGTATGAGGAGAAAATTGAGCTGGTGAAAAGTGGTGCCCAGATTTCCCTCACTAAGGTGGAAATTATGGATATTCCCTCTCCTCCCAGTGTCCTGGTGAGTATCTCACCTTTCATGGCACTTTTAAGTTCTTTCAGTTTGCTTTGAGAGGTTTTTAAGCTGTTTAAAGTTGAACTGAAGATGCTGCACTGATGGTTTTGCAAATCCTGGTTTTCCTGTCGAACCAAAATCATGGAATCACAGAAGCTTTGGGTCGGAAAGGACCTTAAAGATCATCTTGTTCCACTCCTTACCATGGGCAGGGACACCTTCCACTAGAACAGGTTGCTCCAGCCTGGCCTTGGACACTTCCAGGGATCCAGGGGCAGCCACAGCTTCTCTGGGCAACCTGTGCCAGGGCCTCACTGCCCCCACATCCAAGAATTCCTTCCCAATATCCCATCTAACCCTGCCTTCCTTCAGCTTAAGGCCATTCCCCCTTGTCCTGTCCCTCCAGCCCTTGTCCCAAGCCCCTCTCCAGCTCTCCTGGAGCCCCTTTAGGCCCTGGAAGGGGCTCTGAGGTCTCCCTGGAGCCTTCTCTACTCCAGGTTGAACAGCTCCAAAATCCATCAGGATAAACCCCATTACAGAGAATCCCAGAATCCCTGAGGCTGGAAAAGCCCTCCCAGCCCATGGATCCCCCCTGTGCCCAATGCCCACCTTGTGCCCCAGCCCAGAGCACTGAGTGCCACGGCCAGGCCTTCCTGGGACACCTCCAGGGCTGGGCACTCCAAACCCCCCTGGGCAGCCCCTGCCAAGACCTGACCACCCTTTCCAGGGAGAAATTCCTCCTGAGGAAATTGTTACACCAACGCGTGTGAGTGATTACAAACACCAAAATCAACTTCCAGCCACGTCTGGAGTCCAACCACTTATGGAAGTGCCTCTGGAATGAGCACAGCCCAGGGAAATGCTGCTCACAGACATTTTCTCATGGGCCAACAGTTCCACAAATGCTTTGCTCAAATCATGGCAGTTTCTTTTTAACCTTGTGATGGTCCTTTTTACATTTTATATGTATTTTCTCTCTGCAGAAAATCATGGGTTTTTCTCTTGTTTCTTCTGGGTATCATTTAGATTTTTTTCTCTTGTTTGTTCTGGGTATAATTTAGATTCAAGGCTCCGTTCTGATACTGTAAATTTGAGATTATTACTACACTTTCTCTGGATTTATACAAGTAATTGTTCCACTCCTTTTTTCCTACATACTTTTCCTTCCTCATTTATTTTTAGGTATCTCCTTTCTGCTTATTGTCACAGAGTATGTACATAACTTAATCACCACCAATTTCCAGGTTGGGAAAGAGCAACTTTTGAGCCTCTTGTTCTGCCTTTGGAATCTGGTTTTTTTTCTGCAGGAAGACCAGAATAACCTTTTAGAAGAGAAATCTGAAAGAAAATAGTCCTGAGGTCAAACAACTGCACTGATCTTAAGGAGTTCTTAAGATAAATTGACACCTTCCAGGTCCTTGGCACCACAAAATGTGTCATATTTAAAGCTGCAAATGCTCCAGAGTTCAACTCAAATTTGTTTTAGTCACTGTTTTTCCTGTGAAATGTGTTTTGTTTCCTAGACAATCCCAGCCAGACCTTTGGTCAGTGATCCAGCCATTGTCACCTATTCCTTGGCATCTGCACATCCCAGTTCACTTCCTGCATTTTCCAGTCCTGAAGGTCAAGGTCCAACACAACCATCCCTTCAAACCCAGGCTGGAGCTAAGGCAGCACATGCCACCACTGAGGCTTCTTCTGCAAGTGGTGGATCCATGAAAACACATCCCCAACCTCCAGAGGGATCATATTCCAATAAACTCCCGTCACCTCACCCATCAGGGATTTCTGGAAGTGCCACTCAGCCAACCCAGAACCACCAGGATGCCTCAGCTCTGCAACCAAGGCCTCCTGCACTTCCAAACAACAAAAAGCTTCCAAAAGCACTGGAAAATATTATTGCACGGCTCCAGAGTATATTCCCAAACTACAGCAGGTATTGGTTGGAATGAGTGGAATGTTTTAATGGGTGTGATAAGTCCTGCACAGCCAGGGATAAAGTACAACAGGGACTGGTTTTGTTCTGTTTCCAAGGGCCTGGAGTGACAGGACAAGGGGGAATGGTTCAAACTGACAGAGAGTAGGGTTAGATGGGATATTGGGAAGGAATTGTTCCCTGTGAGGGTGCTGAGGGGCTGGGATAGAATTCCCAGAGAAGTTGTGGCTGCCCCTGGATCCCTGGAAGTGTCCAAGGCCAGGTTGGAGCAACCTGTTCTAGTGGAAGGTGTCCCTATTATCTTTAAGGATGATCCCTTCCAACCCAACCACTCTGTGATTCTGATTATTGTTTAGGGTTTTTTTACAATAAAGGCAGATTCTGGTTACTGAGAGTTCCTGGAACAGGCACCTGCTCCAGTTTGTGGGAGAAGTTGGTGTTTTTAAGGCTCTTCTGCTGGGAATCAAACATGGAGCCTCCAGTGTCGTGTTACCAGTCATTGATCCTTGTTTTTCCTGTCCCTGCAGTTCAGATTTCACTGGTTTTATAAGAGAGGTGCAGAGAAGAAATGGGAACACCCTGTCAGGTCTGAGCTCGGATGAGGTTCTGAACCGAGTGACGGAGCTGATCCTGGACCAGCAGAGCCAGGTATGAGGGGGTGGAGCCGCTGCCTCTGCCTGGGAATCTTCTGACAGAGGGAACGGAGCAGCACAGCCCCAAACTACACAAAGTGCCCTTTGCCATCCAGCTCTACATACAAACTCACTCCAAATTCCCTTCTTTGTTCAGGCACCAACTTCAGCAGGGAGAGTCTCTGCTCCACCAGCCCCGACCGGAACACGGAGTCGGGAAGCGGGTGCAGAAGGAAATGCCCCCAGTCCCTCCAGAGCAGGACCTGCACCTAAAAACACCTCAAATAAAAACCCACGTCAGCCAAACCTCCAGCCCTGGGGGAATGTTGGAGCAATACCTAAAGCTAAATGGAAAAAGCAGGACAATGCAGTAAGTTCTCCTCTGTTCCAGTGAGGTCGTTGCCATGTGCTCCGTCCAAGACACGAAACAATCGGGGTATTGCTGGGGAAAAAAATAACTGGCTCGTTTATTTTGTGTACAAAAGCTTAAATAGACCTGGTTAAAGTTAGTAAACTAATTGACTGAGTGGAATTTGCTGATTAATTGCTGCTGGCTTTCCAATAACTGAGCGTTCCATGTGCAGGCCTCCAGCGAGGATCCCTGCACGATCTGTCACGATGAGCTGAGCAAAGACTCGTGTGAACTGGAGTGTGGGCATCATTTTCACAGAGAAGTAAGTTCTGGTCTTGTTTTCTGAACTCTCCATTTACCCCTCAGTGCTTAAACAACTGGGCACAATTTGCTTTTTTCCAGCCTTTGCACCCCAGACTCGCCCTGAGAGCCGGTTTTACCGTCTCAGAAAGCTTTAGGGCTTTTTTAAAGTAAAGTGATAATTCATCAGAGTGAATTTAAAGTGAGGCTTCAGAGATTAAATCTGGACTGTTTGCAACAGTTATGGACTGGGCTATCCCTACATTTGCCACCTGATAGTGGGACTTCATGGGAGTAAAAAAAGTCAGGATTATGTTAGAATAACTCCGTGTTCCTGTCGGTGACTTTTCCCCTTTGCCTTATTTCTTGACTGCTGATTTCTTCTGGCAGAATAAATGGATTAGAACTGGAGAACATTTTTCTAACCCCAGCCTTTGCCTCCTCCCTCTCTCCCTGCCCTTGCAGTGCATCAGAACGTGGCTCAAGGAACATTCCAGCACCTGCCCCATCTGCCGTGTCCACGCCCTCCTTCCCGAAGACTTCCCTGAGCTTCCTGCATGGAACAAGTGCACCTAGTCCTGGCTTTATTTCAACACTTTATAGCAATAATCATCATCATAATCATCATAATCACATGCAAAGTGGCTGCAGAGTAACCCCAGAGCTGAGGGACAGCACCAGGCCCCTGGTTTTATTGGCAGTGGTGACAGAGCTCAGGCTGAGTTGGGATTTAACACTTGGCATTAAGGCCCAGACTCCAAGATCCAGCACTTTTCCTGGTTGCTGCCTGAACGTGAGAAGCTGATGTGGTTCAGGGCTGGCAGCACACAAAACTGGCCTTTGTTTGATTTTTTTTTAATTTAATTGAAAAGTAGCAAATCTATTTTATCTGGAAGGCCAGAGCATAATTCCTGTAAAGAGGGAGTTTTCCCTCAGGTTTATTCCACACTGCAACCAAATTCCAATATCAAACAAGCAGGAGACCCAAATGCAGAACTGGAAGAGCCAAGATATTCCCTTCCTCTGGCATCAGCAATTCCAGTTGAACTGCAGGATTCCAGTCAGGCCCTTTGGAGTGCAGTTCATCCCTGCAGCTCCTCTCTCTGCATAAAATTGTTTAAATACTGACTTTTAGTAATTTATTGAAGCAAGAATTTTAAAGTGTTCATGTGAATGGAGCTGGAATACAGTGGATCCATTCTTTAACGGATTCTTTAATTCAAACCCTCAAAATAGGGTTTGAATTCCCCCCCACTGTTGAAGAGCTGATCTGTTTAAATGGGAATGACAGGATTTTTATTTTGGCTAAAGCAACATCTGTATTTTGTGCAGGAACTGGTCACCAGTGAGGGGCAGAATTTAAACAGCTCCAAGAATGGTTTTCCCACTGCCTTCAGAGTCTGAGCTTGCCAGAGCACCTTCAGCACTGTCACATTTGCCTCCAAGAGCCAAAAAATGAGGAGTAGAGACTGAAAATCTCAAACTGAAAATCAAATGTGGCTGTTGTCTGAATCCAGGCAGCATTAACTGGATTATGAGCTCATTAGCTAATTCTAGGGATCACTTGTTCCCCCCAGTGATAAATATCCTCCAGCTGAAGTTTTAAACTACTCTGTGATTAATCAGTGTATGAATTGGCACTTGAATAAGAAATTAAAATTACTGCTGCAGCTCATGCAGGGTTGGGGTGTGTGTAATATTTCTGCTAAGTCTGAGTTATGGGTGAGTAAATAATTCCATGGAGCTGAAGCACCTTGGAGCCTGAGGAATTCCAGCACTTGCCTCCTTTTCACCTTCCAGTATTTTTGGGGGGTTGCAGCCTCCCTAATCCAGGTGCTGGGGCTGCTCTTTCCACATCCCCTGGGACAACAGGAGTTGGAAGAGCTGCTCTGGGGACTACAAAGAGTGGCTTCCACTTCCCAAAAATCACCCTGTACCATCCCCTGGTCTTAAAGAAAAGTGTGAGGTTTTATTAAATAGCATTTTCCCCCCCCAATAAGAGACTGAAATAAAAATTCCAGCTGTTGCTCCCTAAAACACCAGGGCCAGCCCTGGAATGACACTGTCCTGCTTGGCAAAGCTGCTGGATAAAGCCAAAGGAAATGACTTTGGGGCACTTTTCTTAATTCTGCCTTTTCAGGAGCTCACTTTTACACTTCCAATTCCCATAATACTTTATACCTGAGCCTGCCTCTACCCCACAGGGAAGAGTCATGGAAAAATTCACAATTAAAATCAACTTGTGGCTGTTCCATTAAAACAACCCCAAAATCCACAACCTGTTTGTGTTGGGAAGGTTCTTCCTTGCCTATAAAGTTCCTTTAAGCTGCACAGTTACAAACAGGTGAATTTATTCCTCCAACACAGACTCATGTTCCCAATTTGACCAAAATTTCCTCGGTGTTACTTCACTTCTTTCACACTGATCCCACAGCAGCACCTTCCTTTTTTATCCCTTCAAAGACCCTATTTATCATTATATCACAATTCCCAGTATGGATATAACAGGATTCAACAGGTTTAAGGGGTCTTCAAAGGGTTTTGGAACAAATATGATGGAATTAAATAAGGAGAGAAACTTCCTACGTACTTACACACCAGTTGCAGAAAGCTGCAAAATCATTCCTTCAGGATTTGCCTGAGGAAAAGTGGGGATAATGTGGTTGTTGAAGGCAGAAGGATCCCTGCCAAGGCTGCCTGGATTGGGAAGTCCAGGTGGGCTCTCTGGGAAAGATGACCAGAGAACTGAGAGCACAAAAGGACCCACAGGGAGTGAGGTGGCTCCAGCTGGAATCAGGCATGGATAAAGTTTCACTTTTCCTCTGAAGAATTTGGGCCTTTTCCAGGAAGTCCTTCCCTGGGTCTTTACATCCTGCAGAGCTTCAGTGGGAAGTTCTCAGTGATGAGATGGTCGTCGTGCAGGAGGACCACGATGTTCACCTCAAACTCTGGGAGAAGGGGAAAAGAAAAGGGAGAATTCCATGGAAAACTGGATCCTGCCAGCAGGATAAAGGGCAGGAAGGAGCTCCTGCTCTCACACAGGGCACTGCCCCCCAGGCAGAACCTGATCCCACACCTTGGACCCTTCCTAGAGAATTCCTGCCTCGTTCTAATCTTTGGGATTCCTCTGGATTCAGTTGTCAGAGATAAACTGTGACACAAAAGTCTTTTGGACAACAGAGTTCACATGTCAAGGAGCAAAATGTTTTGGGAGAGACACCTAAACATGGTGTTTAGAAGCAGGGAAGTGGGAGAATCCCAGGAGAGATTCCTGCCCTGTTGCCAGCATTTAACAGCCTCGGGAAATGAAACTGGACTACAACAGATCTGCAAACTATGGAATAAGAATTCCAGAAGAAAATCTACTCTTTACATACTATATGCTGTCATTCAAAGCCAAAATCAGATCAATAATCCCAAATGGAGACAAGACAAAGCCAGGCAGAGCTAATAAATGAAGGGAAGCAGAAATCAAAATAAACTGAAAATAACTGCCCTTTTTTTAGAGTCTTTGTAACTATATTAAGATACTTCTTATAAATAAAAGTAGCTCCCACACTAACAATTTAAATTGCTATTCAAGAGCTAAAAATGGCAAAAAAATAAGTAAAAATATTATTTTGGGGAAAATCACTGCACACAGATTCTGTACCAAGATTCCAACAGGGTGGAGGGAAGAAATACAAACTAGCCAAGTGATTCTTGCAGTAATTGTTTGAGCAAGTGAGGAAAATCCTCATTTTCTTAAGAAAAATGCTGGATTTTGGCCACAATCAGCAGGGGAGGAGCAGGTGGTGTAGGTTAAGAAAAGCAAAGTCACAGCCAGACCAAGGGCTTCCAGCAGGAAGAGTGGGAAACAAAACAGAGAGGAAATGGAAAGAGGGGGCTCTCACTGCTGAGGAAAAGAGGGAATTTTATTCTTGGATTATTATTCAAGTGTTTAATTACGTGCAACTTTTAGCAGGGGAAAAAAATGACCTGCATTCCACTGTTTCTCCTGTCCCTTTATCATGGAATTCTGTTAGTCAGAAGTAGTTTAATGGTTGCTCAGGGGTTTCTATTGGAAATGTTTGGGCTGTATTTTCCCAATCTGTGACATCCTCTTCAGGAAGCCTCTCCAGGGAAACACCAGGATGTGTTTCCAGGACCAGGATGTCCCTGGTCCTTCCCGCAGCACCGGATTTATCCCGTTACCTGCCAGAAGCTGAAGGAAAACTAGAAACTCATCCCTGATGGAAAACAAAAAATGCCTCCAGAGCATCAAGTGCCACACACTCACCAACTTTGAAGTTGGTTGTTTCCAGGGTGGGGCAGGTGAAGAGCCTGGGGAACACCATGTAGATGGGGATGGGGAGGCCCCTGCAGACGTCGCCGTCGGCGATCTGGATGTTCTGGATCTCCGTGGCATCCCGGGCATAACCTTCAGCACAGCCTGGGGAAGGAGCAGGGAGGCACAGGGAGAGCAGGGAAAGGGGAAGAGGTGAGAGAAAGCAGCAAAGATACACTGGGATTGGGGGCAAAAACTTTTGAGCTGCAAGTTAAGGATCACGGAGTTATTTAAATGAACTGGAATTAATTAAATTCCACCCGAAGCGCAAACCGTCGTTTTGAAGGTCTTTTTAATGCTCTCTGGCTTGTCACAATATTCCAAATTGAAGGTGAACAAGCACAGGTAATTCCTGGGGGCTGTTCCCCACGTTTTCCACGGACAGGGACACTCACCACAGGTCTCCACTCTGACCAGCTGCAGCTCGATGCTCTTCACGGCGGCCTCGGCGCTTTCCACCACCAGCTCCCCCGTCAGGGGCTGGGTGATCACACAGTTGGTGGAATTGAGGTGCCCTCTGATCAGGAATTTGGGGAGGGAGGCTCTCTGGAAAAGAAGGAATCACAAGGATATTCTGAGCTGGAAGGGGCCCACAAGGATCACCCAGGCCAACTCTTAAGGAAGAGACACTGCTGGAAGAGCAGACTAAGGAAAAAAAACACCCTACAGAGGATTATCCAAATGTGAAGGAAATGCCCCAAAGTTCCAAGGTTAAGAACTCAGGAGTTCAGAAAGGAGCTTCAATAACTTTTTCAATCTGTATCCTTACCCATCTGCATTAGGGCATCTCCACAATCCTCTCCCTTGCCAGGCATCCTTCCTGCCCATTCCATCCACCCAAGGGATGGACTTTTCCCGGGATGAACTGACAGCACTTGGCCATTACAATTCATCCAGGAGTTGGAACCTCATGGTGAAGGAGGGAGACTGGCAGGAACAGAATCCCAGAGTGGTTTGGGTTGGGAGAGACCTTAAAGCCCATCCAGTGCCACCCCCTGCCATGGGCAGGGACACCTTCCACTATTCCAGGTTGTTACAAGCCCTGTCCAACCTGGCCTTGGGCACTTCCAGGGATCCAGGGGCAGCCACAGCTTCTCTGGGAATTCTATCCCAGCCCCTCCCCACCCTCACAGTCAAGAATTTCTTCCCAATATCCCACCTAATCCTGCCCTCCTTCAGGCTTCCCAAAGCCAGGCAAGGATGTAAAAAAATGGCACAACCAAGGACCAAAATACACATTTTTAAGGGCTTTTGGCTATCCATGGTATAAAATGTTTTCCTTGGCTCCACTGCCTCCTTTCACTCAGGAAAAGGATACAAATATCCAGTGGTTACTGAACAAAATTCCACCTTGAATTGGTCACCATGATGTGAAAGATGAGGCAGAATCACTTTATTGCTTAGAAAAGTGAGAAAGAAGGGGGTAAAAAGAGCTGATTATCTGCAGGGCAGCATTTAATCATTCCCCTGGTCTCACTCAGAATCACACAAACATTACATTTAAAATAAGAGAACAGCAAATCCTTTTACCTCTTTAACATTTTGCAGAGTTTCAGGAGTGATTGTGAAGTCCACGGGGCTGGGCAGCAGCTTCCCCTTCTGTGACTGCAAGGAAGGACAGAGTTAAACTGGGAGCTCTGATCCACAAAACATCCAGAGAAGATTAAAAACCACAACACTTGGCTGCTCCAAACCAGCTGGAAAAGCAGGAATACACTCTCTAAAGCAGGAATACACTCCCTATCTGAAGCATAAAGTGTGTTAGAGGGAAAAAAAATTAAATTCCACGTTTTTTAATGTATAAATAATTTCATTTTACACGTCCCTGGAAATGTTTCCTTTCATTATTAAATTTGGGCAGGGCCAATGAGTTGTATAAACTCTCCCTCCCTCTCCTTATTCCCCACCAATGGGCTGGACTGGAATTCTTTGTTAGGATCTGCCCTCACTCCTTAAGAATTCCAAATAGCTGCTGCTGCCCAGCTGCAAGATGGAAGAGATTAGCAAAAGATTGGCTGTGTTTGCCCAAAATGACAAATTCTGGCAGAGGAGAAGCTTAAGGGAAATGGTGCATTGAGCACTGACAGTGAGAATTATATGTTCAGTAAAACCTCATTAATTCCCCCTGACTGAGAGATTCATGATTTACTGACTTGTGATCTCAGAAGTGCTGTAGTGAGAACAAGAAATAAAACCAGGAAAACTGCAGGATATGTAATTTTTCACTGTTTTGACAAGTGTGGCTCACTTATAATGTAATAATGGACCAATAAAATGTAGCATAATGTATTTTAGGAAATAATGAAATCTTACCATAAACTTGTTTATGACACCAAACTAAATCTTTTAGAAAGGCATTACAGAGCTAAAATAACATATTTCCACCACTGGTCACAAGTAAAACAAAAGATTCTTATATTCACTGTCCTGTTGGAGTTCAAAGGAATGATACAAACAGGATGTTCCAGCAAGTTTTATATGGAACAAGAGGTGTTTAATTAGGTCTGTACTGTCCTGACCTGCTCTGGACAGGCACAAATCAACATAAACCAGACCCAAATCTGATACAGGAACTTCAAACAACCAGCAAAACATTTCCTGGGAGACAGTCAGACCTCATCCTACAAGGATTAGGTATTAGGGACAATTAGGGACCACAGAGTGGTCAGGCCTTGGAATAAACATCCCAGGGAGGTGGTGGAGTGGCTGATTCTGGAAGTGTTTTAGGATGTGGCCCTTGGGGTCATGGATTAGGGGTGATTCTGGTGGGACTGGATGTTCCTGAAGGTCTCTTCTTCCAGCCTTGATCCTGGGAGTCAGGGCTCTAAATCATAACTACTCCTCTGAAGAACAGAAATCAGGAATTTTTCTCTTCCCCACCAAACCCCCGTTTCTAGGACAGGCACTGTGGGGGCCTCCAACCTTTGGCTGAGAACTCCTGAGGTAATTTGAAACAGTGTTCAGAAGAATGACATCATATTTATCCAACCCCCCCATTGTTCCTGAACTGAGAGCATGAATAAGAGAATAAACTCAGGGCAGTGTAAAACCATCTTAAAATCCAAATCCTCTCTGTCCTGTTTTCTTTAAAATCAAAAGAAATGGGTTGTTCTCACCAGAACTGTCAGCTCAGCTCTTTGGGGTGGGTTTGTTTTGGGGTTTGCTTCCTTCACTCAGATATTTTGGACAGTGCTCTCCTGTGCAGAGCCAAGAGCTGGATTTGATGATCCTTGTGTGTCCTTCCTAACTCAGGATATTCCCTGATTTTACACTCCTACGATCCCACGTGTCACTACTACAAATTCCATGGGTTTACTTGGTTTTCTAACCTTCTAAACTTCACTTAAAGTGGAGGAAAAAACCCCTAAATCTCACTTACCAGGGAGTGGACAATGAATTCACAAGTCTTAGTCAGGTCCTTTGCCAGCAGAGACCGTCTCATGTCACACCTCAGGGTGTACTGGTGGGAATGGGATGACACAGGGAAAAGAAGAGCTTTAATTCAGATTTATTCTCTCTCCAGTTCAGATTTATTCTCCCTCTTTCAACTTTTCATCCTTCTGTTGCCTCTGTGCAGAATGTTGCTGCTGTTACCTCCAGCTCAGGGTGATTATGGAATTGCTTTTCCCTCCCTCTCCTCTGGATAAGGGATTATTGACACAATGTATTCACAGCCCTCCTAATTTTAAATTTATTGCAAGGGTTGAGCTTAGGTGGGAACAGTTCTGTGGGTATTTAATGGGGAACTGTCTTTAACCACACAGCTGAGCTTAAAGTTTGCAGTGAAATCAGGCAATGAGGTTAATTTGCTGCCAAATTCCTCCCCTAAAAATGGGAGCCATAAACCAGCCAGCTGAAAATAGTTATCCCAGTAATCCCACACTTCAGCATCTCTAACAAAGCCTCTGAGTGTCCTTACAGGACAGGGAATTTGTTGGGATGGGGGGTTTGTTGTGGCTTGGTTTGAATTCCTTCTTTCCAGATGAGGAACTGGCAAAAAGAGGTGCCCTCAGAGCAGGGATTTGGCTTCCTCACTTCTCCTTCATGGCCCCAAACTTGCCCATCAGTGGATAATTAAAAGGTCTCTGCATGAGAACAGAGACTTGAACCCACAACTAATCCCTAAATCAAAAAAGAGAGGCTTAATTAAACTGCCCAGGCCTTGCACAGAGGTTTAGGAAGTGTCTCTTAACCAGCACCTCAGTGTTACATTTTCCTCTTCAGGAGAGCAGGACTCAAAAGTTTGGCTGAAATCTGAATTATTCATTTTTTAAATTGCATTTTATCCTCCAGCTTGTCAAGAGAAGCTACACAGAGGAGAGAGGGAATGACAGAACAAACCAAATATTCCCCATTAAAGAGCACCTTAAACCAACTGCTGCTGATCACAGCAAGTTATTTGGGATATGGGGAGCAACTGAACCAGTTCTGCACCATTTCTGACAGACCCACCACAAACAACAAATGTTCCAAAAACTGAAAAAATAGATGGGAAGTCCTTAAAAAAAAAGACAAAAAAACAAGGGATTTTTTTTTTTCTTTTAGTTACTTCTGACAGGCTGATTGGGGGTGGTGTAGTTAGGTTGTTTTTTTAATTCCACACTGTAATAAAAGAATTAATTGTCTAACACAATATTTACCTTCAAGAGACGGGTGAGGAAAGGCTTTCCCTCAAAAATAAAAGCAAAACAACCCCCCCAAAAAATCCCTAAAACCAACCAACCCACTTATGGTACAACAATTTTTAACCAAAAATTTTAACTAAAAATTTTAACAAAAATTTTAACAAAAATTTTAACAAAAATTTTAACAAAAATTTTAACCAAAAAAGGTCCAATCTCAAACTTGTGGTGGTTCCACAAGATTCTGTCAACAGCACAAACCCCACACAGCTTTGGGCAGGGAATGTTATTCCTCATGGGAAAGCAAACAATCCCTGGTCTGGAAGCTGCCACGAGCTCTCAACACTTTGGTTTGAGTTTTCCTGGTGAGATTACACATTTATTTTGAACAAACCCACACTGGGTGCAGCTGTTTTGCAGGAAGGGGAGGGACACAGTTGTCTCCAACACAAGGAGGGATCAGATACAGGATGTCAGAGTTGTGACAAGGTCCAGAACACCTTCTTTGGGCCATCATTCCTTAAAGGTTTACAGGATGATGATGTGGAAGGCTCAGTCTTCCAACTGAGAAAACACTCTGCACTGTGAAAACTTCCACCCCCAAACTTTATCCTCAATTCCCATGGATTAAGAGATGCTTTAGAACAGGTTCTGCAGCTGAAAGGGCAGATTTTTATGGAGAGAAGCTCACCTGGATGTTAACAAACACACCATGGTATGTCTCATACAGGACTTTGTTCCCCTTCATGTGCAGTGGGAATTCAAAGGGAATTTCTGTCTTGCCACTGGGAAGCTTCCCTGGTTTTACCATTTCAATAGTGCTGTTAATAATCTGAATAGGCTGCAAAGAGAAATAGTAGGGAAGTTTAGGTTGAAACACAGAACCAACAACATCCACTAAACTCTAACAGACTTCCTGGTTTTCCAGAATCTCAGGTACCTCTTCACAACACACAGTGCTGGGATATTTCTTTACAATGAAAAGAAATATTAATATTTTCCTCAGGACAACCATTTGTGATCTGTTTTATGGCTGCATCACACTAATGACCAGAGATATCCAGGGAGCTCCATCAGCAGCGTCTCCAGCACTCTGGAAAGTGGAGTTTTGCTTGGAGGTGACACTTCTTTTCCCTCTGGAATTTTATCATTATTTTCCCCAACATGAGAAAGATGTGGGGGTGTTGGAACAAGCCCAGAGGAGCCCACTAAGTTGATCCAAGGGCTGGAGCAACTCTGCTCTGGAGCCAGGCTGGGAGAGCTGGGGGTGTTCACCTGGGGAAGAGAAGGCTCCAGGGAGAGCTGAGAGCCCCTTCCAGGGCCTAAAGGGGCTCCAAGAGAGCTGGAGAGGGACTGGGAACAAGGGATGGAGGGACAGGACAAGGGGGAATGGCTTTCACTGCCAGAGGGCAGGGTTAGATGGGATATTGGGAAGAAATTCTGTGAGGGTGGTGGTTGCCCAGAGAAGCTGTGACTGCCCCTGGATCCCTGGAAGTGTCCAAGGCCAGGTTGGATGGGGCTTGGAGCAACCTGGGCTAGTGGAAGGTGTCCCTGCCCATGGCAGGGGATGGAACTGGTTGATCTTTAAGGTCCCTTCCAACCCAAACCATCCTGTGATTCTGGGATCTCCAGCTAATGCTGAGCTTTCCTTCATTTCCATTTCCCTGCTTTCCCCTTCATTTCCATGCCATGAAATCCTTTGACCACCTGAGAGCCATTAAGGAAAGATTTCCTCTGGGAAGAGAGACAGAGTTTTTGTGCTGAAAACATCAAGCTGTGCAGGTCTTACCTTGACAGAGTTGTAGAAAGCCTCAAACACCCCCACACTTTTGGCACTGAGCTGCAGATTTACTGACCCCTCCATGGTTAAGGAGATTCCCTGGTGCTGGACTGTGTCCTTGCTTGTGATGACCACAACTCCAGAAAGAACTTCCTGATGGAAAAGAAGACAACATGAAAACATTTGTTTAAATCCACTTTTTCCAGAGCTGTTGGCCAGACAGTGTGTAACTGATCTTCAAACTCGAGGAAACTGTTCCCAAAGAACGGTGTAACCTCGTCAGGAGACACAAAGAGTGATGATAAAGGAATGTAGGGAGAGAGCTCTGCACTTCTGGCTTGTTTTCCTTAAAAATATCATCCTCCTCTTTACAGAAGAGCTTCAACTTCTTCCCAAAGTTTCAAGATCTTCCTCTGCAGGAAGATGAAAAACACCCCCATCAACAACAATTGGGTCAGTTGGCAACAGACAAGTTCCATTCCATGAGTTAGAATAAACTTCCAGGAGGAATTGTCCCATGGGAAGTGGGATGGACAGCCATGGGAGAGGGAAGGG